AATTTTTTCCTTCTGAAAACTTACATGTTTCAAATTCTGTGAAATACATTATTGTTATATAAATTCTCCAAAGTATGAGTTTCTTATAATCTTGAATAAACTTTTCTTACATTATCATTCTCCAAATAATGCCGTCTCACCAAACACATATATTAACCTGTAGTATGGACAGTAATAGCTTGTCAGGCCTTTGTCTGTACATTCTTGATACCAAACATGTATTTACATGTAAAATAAAATTACTCACCTGCTGCTCTGGACAGAATCTAGTCCAGAAGCTACTAAGCTGTTTGTTTGTAGGATATGTAAAATGCCTTTTGTTGAAAAATGCAGCGCTCAAAAATGGTAAATAAAAATAGGAAAACCAACTGTCAAATGAGTGACAGTTCACTCTGAATAACAGACCACATCCTATTCCATTCACTGTGCATGATGTCAAAACAAGGGTAAAGGACTCTTCAATGGCACACACATGATGTGCTCTCCGAGGTATATGGGAGGTCATGCTTACATGACAGCACTCTGACAAAGGCGAAGAAGAGAAAGAAAATTGACATGTGTTTGGGGGAAACCCATTCCTCATTGATGTCTCAAACAGGGCCGACACGGCAGCGACCAATGAGGTTCGCTAAGGGAAAAGGTTGAGCCTTGGCACAAAATGATTGATATTCCTATTTTCCATCTGACAAGGTAGGACACGGCCTGTATAATGAATTGTGACACTTTAATTAGCTTGTCCAAGATAAACAAAATCAGATCGGCCTTGTTGTTCTCCTCATTAGCCATTTAACCTATCATGGGCTGGGTGCAGGCGGCTTGAGAAACACACGTTTAATTGTACATTTGTGATTGGAAACAAAACAAGGCATTTTGTGGACAGGATCCTCTATGCAGAATCGAGCCGCTGGGCGCGATCTATTGTCTGTTTGTGTGACTCACTTCTGACATAACCAAAAATGCATGGATGAATAAATGGATGAATCTCAAGAAACCTGTCAAGAACATGCCGCATTTCACCACCAAATCAAAGTCTATTTATCTATCTATCTATCTATCTATCTATCTATCTATAATATAATATAATAGTACCTTTTTATTTCAGAACGAATGATGAGCCATGTTTTCGTAAGATACACCAACATTTGACAATAATTCCCAGCATGCAAACTTTATCTCCATTTATGTTCATAACGCCACAGTCAAAGCAGATTGCATACTACTTTAGTAGTACTTTTGGAACCTGTTGCACACTTTCTGGAGTTCCTATGCTTTCTTTTAGTTTGTGTATTCGAATGTATGTGTGTCCACTCAAAGTTTTGGACAGTACAGGTATGTGTGTGTTTGGATGCCCCTGCTCTCCTCAGGATGTTAAATGACTAATGCTCGTCCCAGGGGAGCTCATTAAATTCCCCCCAAGCGGAGGGTGTCACAACCACCACAGACAAACAGCTCCACCACGCTGCATAGTGATGCTTCCTATCTGTCTGTCTGCAGCTGAGAGATATAGACGAGGACCCACGGTGACGGCCACAAAGAGTCTCGCGCTCACCCCCCTCCATGCAACCCCTGCTCATTCCACCATTATTAGACATAACGGGGCCTGGATCCGGAAACCAGGGCCAGGGGTGCACAGATAAGTATTCATTACTTTATAGACCTTTGAATTTTAAATGGTCTGGGATACCTGCATAGCATACATATATAGTGTGTTCTTGGTACCATGGACAGCGCTATGTCAAAAAAACAAAGGTGGGAGCACCATGGACAGCTCCATAACTAACCTATGTGAGGTGAGGCAGAAAAAGTAGGTTAATGAAAAAGACGTTATAGTGACTTTTTGGGATCCAAGAGTTTGGATGGTGCATGGGTGAATGGGAATGTGGTGTCTCCCATGTGGATAATGCCAGCATGGTATGGATGGACTGTGATGGTATTAATGAGATCTCACACTGAGATACTGAGGAATCAGAGACAAGGGGAGAACCGCAGTTACCAGCGGACTTACGAACTGCTATTCCCTGCAAGTGAAAGTGTGCTAACACACACATTTACCTCATTTAATGGTCATCCAATCTCACACTATAATCACTACACTGTGGAAACATTATGCCCTGCAGGATGAGGAACTACATTTATTATTTAATTAATGAGCTAATTAATTAATTAATGCATAAAAGTATTAAAGAGATCTCATCACATTTTGCTTTCCACCACTTCTGTAGCACTTGCAGACTTTATAAAGGAAAAAGGAAGCAAATGAGTTCATAGGTTCATATAGAAGAATATCTTCACCAGATTTCAACCCGTACAAACCTCTAAAATATATTTAATATGTGTAAACCAGTGGTTTTGTTTCAGGACCCAGATTTTACATTGGGCATTGTTCCTACCCAACACAGTACTAAAATTATTACACAAAAAGTAATCAAAAACTTCTTAAAATCAAACACATATTAATCAATTTTATTATTATTATTATTATTATTATTTAAATATTTTAAATTCACATGGATTCATGCTGCCAAAAATATAACCAAGATACAAAAGTGAATTTATAGAAGTGAGAAAATTTGCACTGAGCATCCTTTTTACCATTTTTGCCTTTTTATCAGAAGAGCACCGCAGATTATTTTCAGTTATTGTTATATTTTTAAAATCACCTCCATCAATTAGATAAAAAGATGTTTGGCTTTGCAATATTATATATTACATTATAATTTATATACATATATAACATGTGAATCATATAATTTACACACACACACACAGACACACACACAGTAATATATTTTGCAATACTACTACTACTACTACTACTAATACTAATAATAAATACAGTATGTTTGGCAGTGCTTACTGGTCAGTGAGAGGAAATATGATTGATGTGCATCTGTATGGAAATGGAGAATGCTGTGTCATAACTTGGCGGGATGCTGTGGAAATTACAACTCTCCATCTCGTCTCTTATCTAGTGTGATGCTGAACAGAACCCCCCCCCAAAGTCTAAACATGCAACCAGGGCAAAATACTTGAGAATAGGGATCAAGCATGAGAGCAGGTATTCTACACACTGATTGGGTATCAGGAATACAGTCAGTTTAGTTTTTCACAAATAACATGCATTAAAACTCAAATTTATGTGTGATGGATTATAACAGTAATACAAGAGCAAACCAAGACAATTTTATGTAGTATACTTGCACTTATTTTATGTAGCCAACAGTACAAAGCAACTTGTTGATATCTACACCTTCTGATGAAGAACAAAAGAGAAAAATGCATAATTGAAAGGGTTGAGCAAAGAAAAATTGATTCAATTAATCCTTGAAGCTGTTGATTTTTTTTTTTTAAAAAGTACACTTGGACTCTTTTAAAAAGCAGAAAAAAAAAATCAAACTAACTTTCTTTGCTATTTTAAAAGGAACTAGACATGGCAGAATGTGAGTCAAAATGCATTATGGAAATATTTAAAATGCAGAAATATTCTTTTGGGGGCATTTTAATGTAATCAACAGACTTGCAAAAATATCTAAGAAATGGGAGCTTTTAGGGAGAATAAGGCGAGTACAACTTTAAAGTGAGTTTTCTTAGTTTTAAGAATAAATGTACTGGAAATTACTTTTGGGAATTTTTGCGAACACTCCACATGAGGCATTATTAGCCTAAAGATACAGCTCAGACAGAAAGCTTGTCTGTAACAAATGAGACTAGGTGGGATGAACTGGTTAGAACAATATATTGTGTTACTTAAGCTTTCATTCCTGCAAAAAAAGTAACACTGCAAAAAGAATGCATGAGAAATACAAAAAGGAGACTAAGGAAAGGCTGTTATGCAAAGATGTCAAGGGATAATTAAGACTTGACAAGCACGTCCAATACAGCTTTAATGACACAGCCACCTGACAGTTAAAGAAGTAACATGCCTGTCAGTGTGGCAACCCCAATTAAATAGCAATTGTTGTCCAACAATGCTGTCATCAGAGCAGTAGATACAGAGTGATTTTGTGTAATTGCATGCCCTGTAGATCTAACATGGGCCTGTCTTGTGAGCTGACACTTCCTTCTACAACATGTTGTTTTGCACGTAAATTAAATAAAGAAACAATTTTCGTTTTTCATCTCAAAGCTTATTTTCTTCACAATGTGCACTCATTGACCCATTTTCAAGCCTAACATTAGACTAGGCCAGAGGTCTTCAACCCTGCTCCTGGGGACACACTGTCCTGCAAAGTTTATTTCCAACCTGCTTCAGCACACCTGCATGTGTATTTTCAAGTGATCCTGAAGAGCTTGGTTAGGTGCTTCAGGTGTGTTTGATTAGGGTTGGTGCTAAACTCTGCAGGACAGTGGGTCCCCAGGAGCAGGGCTGAAGACCTCTGGACTAGGCTATCACTAATATTCCTCATATTATTCCTTAAGTGCTTTTCACTACGCTCAACTTCAGGTTATCGTAAACCCCACTTTCAACCCCGGAACACACTTGTAATTTAGAAGCGGGTTAGCATCGTTTTACACCCGGGGCTATGAAACCCTGCAAAGGTACAGCTTTTGTAGTTCTAACCCCGGTCACGGTGGCAAACTTATACAGTGTGAAATGATGCGGTGTTAGAATGTTACAGCTACATGCTAAGCAACAGACAGCCAAAAGCGTGCCTCACATTCACATGCTTTGGACAGTCACGGAAACACTGCGGTTTGTATAAACAGTTGTTTCAGCATTTGAATTAAAAAAAAAAGACAAATGGTGATGGAAAACACATAAACTGGAGTGAATTAGGGACTGTTTCATTCTTACCTTTATAGTCCAAAAAGTTGTTTGAGGAAAAACTTATATAAATACAGTCGAGCCGTGCAAAACGGGTCATGTGCTGCGTTCGTCCAATTATTGACACTGCCACTGCAAATATGCAAATAGAGCACATACAAATAGAAATAATGCCGAGTTCACACTGCACGATATTAGCCCGATTTTTCACTCGCCGACAGGTTTTGCGAAATTGCCGACAAATGCCCGACATCGGAGGCAAATCGGTGCTCGTTCACGTGAGTGACAATCACTCAGTGTGAAGTCTGACGCACGCGGGTTCTCGCGTTATTTCCTTATCACTTCTCGCGTGTGTTTTGTTGTGAAACGTAGTTTGCGGACCAGACAGAGCTGTCGGCCATTCTTCCTATTGTGAAGTCATGCAGTGTGAAACCCCCTGTCGCTGATCTATCGCGCAATGTGAACACAGCAGCAACTGAATGCTACCCCAGATAGTCACGCAGTGTGAAAACAACGGCGATCTGACGAGTTTGAAAATCGTGCAGTGTGAACTCGGCATTATTTGTAAAATAATCGTGTTTGATAGTGCAAGGTCTGGTGAAATTCCAATGACGTTGTGCAAAAAATTCCACCAATTAGAGCATTGCAGCAAACAAAGCGCGCCAAAAGAGATCTTGATCTCCGCCCATAGCCTCGCCCCACTCCACCCATTACACTCCACTCATTAGTTCCACCCGACTCCACCCAATATATATAAATGGCCGGTAACTTAAAAATGTAGTAGCCAAATTGGCTGGTGAGTGAAAAAGCTAATTTCAAACCCTGTATATAAACATCTTGTAGAAGGAAGTGTCAGTTCACTAAGACAGGCCCACGTTAGATCTACAGGGCATGAAATTACACAAAATCAGTCTGTATCTACTGCTCTGATGAATATTTCTCCATCACTTTTATTTTGATTAATGCCATTCGATTTGTTTCATGGGATTGTAGTTCTTTCCTCTTTCCCTCAGTAAAGCCATTAAGTACATAGTCTCCTTTTGTCTTTTTGTCCAATTTTCATTTAGCCTACCTTTTTGCTTCAAATAAAAGTTTGTTCTGTTGTGATTTCTCATGGCTGGTTTGCTTGGTTCATGTATAAGTTTTGCAATTACTTTTTTTTTTAAAGGGGACATCGGATGCCTATTTTCCACAAGTTGGTGTGCTTTAACCAACATACTTTGGTTAAAATTCCTCAGTGGTCGTGTAAAACAACACCTTTTTTACCTAGTCAAAAACAGCTCTGTACACAGCGACCCGTTTCGGTGCTTGTCTCTTTAAATGCTAATGTGCTCTGCTCACCCCGCCCCTCTCTTCTGTGGAGGAGGAAAGGCGATTTGCAAATAATCATAAGAAATATAAAGTGTGGGATCTTACTTCTGGAGGTGCTGCTGGATTACGAACAGTGGGTGCTGATCCATCCTTGAGTTTTAACTTTTTAGCAAAGCCTTGATTTGTCTCGTTCAGAAAGCAGTTTGGAGTAAAAGGATTCGCGCAGACATAAACGCATTTAGGTAGATCAGGGGCGCATTCCCTTCAAAAACAAAAGTAATCCACTGCGTCTTCAGCGGCTCAGATGTCAGGAGTAAATGACGACTGCTATGTTCATTCTTACATCCAATAACAGAACACCTCAATTCTTGTCTACACCTGCCCCCGGCGTCGAAACAATGGCGGATTGTTTACAGCTCACTCAGGGCGGGTCTATGCTAAAACGACAGTGTCCGTCAACAGTCGTGGGAGGGGCCTGTGCAAAGTGTCGTCACTTTGCTAAGAATCTGTTTTCTGAAATTCATACACATGTGAGCACAAATACAAACACACACAAGCACACACATCCTCCCACCACACACTCAAACACAATCATGCACACATATATCTGCACTCATACAGTATACATGTATACATGCCTACAGTTTTATATGACCTAATAAATAAATATAGACTGTAAGCATTGAAATAAATGATAAAATCTGAAGACTATTTAATATTTCTGTTCAATAAAACCATTCAAGTGTAAATTATATCATAATTTTAATAAAACATACAAAATAAGGCACAACCTATATATAGGCCCATAGGCAGAATTATACCCTTTGGTGCATGACGTCTACTGTAGTGGACAGGTATATTTTCTGTCACAGCAAAACATTTGCAAGAAAAATATTGTTAAAATCTGGATTGCTACATCTTAAATGGTTCAAAATGGCTTCCAAATAGCTGTCCACTGTAGTGACCACGATGCATCAGAGGGCTAAGCAATCAGAATAATGACCTAGCATGTTAAAAACTATGCAGAACATCTTAGCAATCGCATAGCAACACCCTGACAACCACACTAGCAACCTGACAATGCATTTGCACAGACTAACAAAGCTTTTTGCCATACCCGTTTTTTTTTGTTTTTTTTAACAAGCTGGGTTTTACTGCATAAACATGTTGAACACACTGCATGCACTTGGCTGATTAGTATTAATATCAGGAACTTCAGAGAGGTATCCCAGCATTGGACAGTTGTGTTTTATTTATGACTCGAGTGAAAGTCTCGGAGTTCAGCAAAATATTTTATTTTACTTTTGCTGATACTCATACACATAACTAGGGAATTAAAAAAAAAAACTAACTTTGTTGTGGTGGAATTCATGATGTGTACGATCAAAAACTGTCATTAAACACATCAGCAACAACCCAGTTTTAATGCTGCAAAACGGAATAATCAGATATAGATTTGCTGATGCTGTTTGATGCATGCTCAACAGTTTTTACCTTTTTTGATAAAACAAATAAGATTAATTTATAGTATATGAAAGATCATGCTTATGAGATATTTACAGCTAATCATTAGAAGGCTTCATTTGCATTTAAGAAACATAATGCATGCATTATTATGGTAGTAAACCACACACTTTCTTGTTCAAATTCATTTGATCTTTATTCATATTAAATTGAAAATATACTTTGTAACAAGATCATGTAACAAATATGAAGTATTCATGTTCAGTTGGCATTCAGTTTGGTGAAGTGTTCACTACCAATTAAAATGGAATCAGAAAGGGGAATGATTTGAACCACTGACTATAAGGAGTTTTGTCTCAGGTGTTTTCATGTTATTATAGAAAATAAAATAATCTACACAACTGACAAAGCTCTAAACCACAGTGGCTCAAAGATAATTTGGCCACACGTATGTCTGAATATAACTGTGTTAAAAAACAAAATATCAAATCAAATGACCTTTATTATTTTTTATTTTTTTACATAATGATAGCACATTTAAAAAACAAAACAAAAAACAACCTTTTGACACTTTGTGGTTGTAAACTGACAGGAGCTGACTTCATACATTTACTAAACACCACCAGTTGGTTAAAGTCAATAAAAAAAATTTAATTCTAAGAAAGTTCTAGCATGATTGCAAAAGCCATTTGGTTTAATATTTTATCAAATGCACCGAAAATCATTTTAAGTGTGACTTAAATATTTATTTTATGCTACTGTAAATTATTTTACAAATTTCTAGTTAGCTTAGCACAAACCACCATCAGTAATAATGCACTGGCCACCCAGTAATTTTAAACAAATATTACCACAAGTGCTTCAGTGGAGAATTCTCTCATAACTGACCATGTACATATGATCATATCTACTAAAAAGCAATCAAACCAAATGCAGACAAACAAAACAAAATCTATAATAAATAATGATAGTTCACTCTAGATAGATCAGTATTTAGTTTTAAAATTAGGCTGACAGAAGTAGATAATGTTGCGTCTTGCTGTAAGTCTTAAAAAGTCATAATTACAACTAACAAAGGTAAAGAATAGAGAAAATGGGCACTTATGTAGAGAAGGAAAGGGCCACAGCTAACCATAAAAGCAGCAAGAGAAGAAATCCACAGAACAGAGCATGACACACAAAGAAACAGGCCAGAGGAAAACAGAACATCACTTGAGATCAAATCAAACTTCACAAATACAAAGTTACTGACACAATGTCAGACCATTACTACAGATGGTGTATTTGAAACAGAACTGAACATTTCATGGCAAAGAAATGATCCCCAAAAAAGTCTTGATGCAACAGTCTCTATATATTTACACTTCCCCAAATCTTTCAGCACTCTACAAAAATACTATTCACTTTTCTTTAGAAGAACACACTTGTTACAGAGCAGTCACTCCAAATACCTGTACTCTCATGGCTCAGAAATACAGTACATTTTCCTGCACACAAAATGTTGCATGTTTGTAAGTGTGTACAAAACTCTGTACATCCCACTACATGGTCTGTCATATATGTATATATACAGTTTGGTAGATACTAAACACTGAATTACTGTAAATTGTGTGAATCTTATACGCTGATTCTCGGCAGTTCATAAAAATGCTAAATTTGTGTAAAAGGATGCTTCCCTGCAGTGGTTCCACATGCATCAGTTTACATGTCAAATAAAATGATGAAATATGATTAAATTATTTTAAATATGGTTCAATTAAATCTTTTCAGCCATTAGTATTAATTTAGGCATTAATTATAGTATGTAAAGTGTGGTTCACTTATTAATGTATTGAGAGAATATAAACTCTAAACCCTTTTACACTATCATTCAAAAGTTTGCGGTCGGTATGGTTTTTTTTTTCCTTTCAATTTTGAATTATTTTTTTCCCCCTGATTTTTGACAAGGACAGCAGGGACACATTAAATTGACCTAAAGTGACCGTAAAGACATTTCTAAAGTTACAAAAGATTTCTAATTCAAATTAATGCTGTAGTTTTGAACTTTCTATTCATCAAAGAATCCTGGAAAAAAATGTATCATGGTTTCCACAAAAATATTAAGCAGCACTACCGTTTTCAACATTGTAAATAAGAACAAATGTTTCCTGAGCAACAAATCATAATATTAGAATGATTTCTGAAGGATTATGTGACAACAAGACTGGAGTAATGGCTGCTGAAAGTTCAGCTTTGCCATCACAGGAATAAATTCCAAAAAACTTATTTTAAACGGTAATATTAATTCACAATATTTATAATTGTTAAAAAAAAAACTACTGTATTTTTGATCAAATAAACGGAGCCTTGATGAGCATAAAACATATAAATGACCCCAAATTTTGAGTGTACATATTAATTTTAGATGTTTACAAATTCATAAATTATTACTAATTTTATTGTATTTATAAAACTAATTATTTAAATTAATACATTCATGACGGACAAACACATTCATTTTACACCATAACATGAAAAATGTTTCACTTATATTTCATCTTTAGCTGTGATAATTAGTAGGATTTGGGTTAAAAAGGTCTTTCTCAAAGAAAGTTTTCACTGATTCTGACCAGACTATAGGATTTGTACCTAAAGTTACACATGTAAAAGGGTTTACACTTTATAATGCTCTTAACTTGAATCTAAATCTACAAATATGAACACACGCACACATCTAACAGTGAGATCACACTGGCCAATAATGCAGTACTACAACAGCTTAATTCTTACCAAAAGTGGTATTTGTAAATCAAAGGTAATGATAAAGGTGCCTCAAGATTAGGCTGTGATATTTGGCAGTTAAAGTCTGTTGAAATGTTCACGCATCTTGTTGCAACACAACATCCCTTATTTAATTAATTATAACAGTAATGTCTTTGTGTTTATATGCCACAAATTGGGCAAACGGTCACCAAAATGGTGATTATTTTGACCAACAAACTAGTCTTCTGACAATACATCATTAAAAGCTACACAGAAACATGAAACTACGAGTGACAGCAGATTGGAAACTACAGGGCAACACTGACTGTATTTGTGCTACACTTGCTATTAGATGAGAGAACATAGGCAGACAACAACAAAAATAAACATATTTTTTAGACCACTCACAGTGATAAAGACTAACGGCTGTTTTCTGAATTATGTTAGTGCTAAAGAGTGGCACATTGTCTTTAGTGTTTGCAATTTTACAAAATAAAGCTCAGTTATGTGACATTGTGATACATAACACAACATCACATGTACACCTACCTAATTAATGTAAACCTGCTGTTTTAACTAGAAAATGTGTTATGAAATACAATGAAATGCCCCAAATGAAAATGTATAGCAGCCATTGTGAATAAAATAGTAATGATAACAAAATAAATGTTGTGCCCAAATTCCATGTTCCAATTACAGATTTGACAAAGGCTCAGTACTGACACTCTGAATTGCACAAACTCAAAATTTATAGTGATTATGTTAACCAGCAGATTAAAACTAAATGCATTTATTTGATTTGCCAACTTCAGTTGGAATCAGAACGCAGTCTAGACACATACAAACAAATACCAAGGCAAAATATCATCTACAAAACACAGAAAATTTATGATTTAACATACATAAAACAGTGTTCAGAACCCAGTTTACTTGCTGACTGTGATGCTAACCAGAATATACAGATTTTTCAGAATTTATCAACCGGAAAATGACTGGCTTGTGATAATTGGCATATACCATAAAATAAAATGCCCTGAATGCAAGTTTGTCAATTGTGAAACTTCTAAAAAAAAAAAACTTCTGAGGTTCAGAAGGAAAATACTTGTTCAAAGAAATAATTATTTTCTATTATTGCCGTAACCTTATTACATTACCATTAGCTAACTTTAAATTACTGCATTAACAATCGACAAGAATTTAGAAAGGATGTTTTATCTGCAACAGGAGTTTCAACAATGCCACAGTAGCTAGTTGGCTTTTGCACTGTAAAATCCAATAGTTTACCTTACTTAGATATAGAATTAGTTATCTTTACTTAGTTGCTATATTTACTAGGTTTTATTAAGTTACAGTTAATTTCAAGGTGAATAAAACAACTTGCTGCTTTGAGTGATGCTTACTTAAAATAATCAAGCAGCCACAACAGAAGCAATGACATTAATACACCAATTAGAGGCAGCAGTGCACTAATATGTTGTTAATGTGCAACAAACCAACATAAGAAATGAGGAAGGTTAGAGAATGCGCAACAAGCAACGTTTTGAATTTGTGCATGCTGACGTTGTTTCGCTCAGGTGAATTGGCACCGACTTTGCTGAAGCTGGGAAAAGAAGCAGAGAGAGAGACTGTTTGCAATTTTACCACTGGACAAATATTTATTATGTCTATACAATAATAATAAGATAATTTAACAAAAAATAATTGTGTGTGATTGTATCTTTCTGTCTGAAATTTTAACTGACCTACTCCTTGACTACACTGGACACGAATGGCGTGGTGCGACAATAGATCCAATTATAATAAATTATAATGCCAAGTAAAAAAAAAAAAATCTGCAATCTTCAAAGAAGCTCAATGACGCCTCGCCAAAGGCAAACAAATACCTAGCATGCTAAATATCTGGAGCTGTCGGCCAACTCAACATCACGTGGTGTCAGGTGTCGCAACAAGCTACAGCCTATGAGAGAGCAAGGCATGGGTTGAAGTCAGTGGAAGAAAAACAGCAGCAGCAACATGGCTTTAACAAAAGTTTGGACACAAGAAATGGAGCTAACATTTTCAGAACAGATCATCACGCAAACAGCTTGCACTGATTTCTTCCCAACGTCCATTTTAAATTAAACAACTCCTGTTTCACTTGTTGTTTCGCATCATACCCATTCAACATCTCGTTTGTGTTTTCGTGACAAAACGAGTTTGGGGAACGTATAGCGTCGTTGGGTGACAGAGTTATTGTCAGCTTGTGTAGTTTGTGACCCCAAGGCCAGTTGCGGATCATCACGTAGTGTGAACATCACAACGACTTCAAGACAGACAGCAAGTCATGTAGTCTGAACAGCACAGCGATCTGCCGACGTTTAAAGTCGGCATGAAACAGAAGTTGCGATAGTCTTTTCTTCCCTAGTGTGACGTATATTCGAATGAAACGGCTTCTGGAATGTAGGGCGGGATTTCACCCTTCGCCAGGAGTTTGAATGACAGGCGATCTGACCAACAAGACAGGGCAGGTTACTTTTGCGATGAAACTATAAGGCTTTAAAAATTTGTCATTTTTAAAAGAATTCAAACTATAAATATCATTTTTGTGGCTCTTTAATGTGACCTATCGCTGTAGCGCCTCAGTTCGATTCAAACGTGAATCGATCTCTTCCTGCTAATTATAGCTCGAAATAAACATGAATGAACATCAGACGTACAGGTGCATCTCAATAAATTAGAATGTCGTGGAAAAGTTCATTTATTTCAGTAATTCAACTCAAATTGTGAAACTCGTGTATTAAATAAATTCAATGCACACAGACTGAAGTAGTTTAAGTCTTTGGTTCTTTTAATTGTGATGATTTTGGCTCACATTTAACAAAAACCAATAAAATAAAACCAATAAAAAAAACATTTTTAGTGAATAGTTGGCCTTCTGGAAAGTATGTTCATTTACTGTACATCTACTCAATACTTGGTAGGGGCTCCTTTTGCATGAATTACTGCATCAATGCATCGTGGCATGGAGGCGATCAGTTTGTGGCACTGCTCAGGTGTAATGGAAGCCCAGGTTGCTTTGATAGCGGCCTTCAGGTCATCTGCATTG